TTCTCTAACATTATTCTCATGACTACAACACAGTCATATACATGTTTGTGTGTGTGTATGTGCCTTCAAGTCACCTGTTGATTTTTGGTAAACCCATGGATTTTATAGGAGTTTAAGGAACAGGCAAGGAATACTCAAAGGTGGTTTTGACAGTTCTTCCTCTGAGACATAGCACACAGGTGAATGGAGTACGTATGGTTAAATATCATGCAGGCTACAGCTTCTCATTACAGAAACAAATGAGGCAGGCTACAAGGGCCTTCTAGGCTGGTGTTGTGCTATGTGAAAGCCAAACCTGGCTTTGCTACTTTCTCTGTACATTTTGCATAATGGTGGTTGCTGTTTCTGCGTACTATAAAAATGGTGGACATTTGATTGCCTGACCTATCTGGATTGTTTTTCTGATTTATTTTATACATCTTGTCTATTTTTGTCTTTAAAAAATCCTCTCTCGCTGCTTTTAATAGTACCCAGAGTTGTCTGCTGTTGCCTGAAATGTGGGATTTCTTTTCCCCTCTATCTCAATAAAGGGTGATGTATGTTTTTATTTTTTGTCCCTCAAACATTTGTTGTTTTTGTTTTTAATGGGAGTATGTCAGTGGTAAGGCCTAAATGCCCCGAAGACACCAGATCCTGTCTATCTTGAAAGCTAAGCCAGGTCATCCCTGCTTAGTACTTGGATGGGAGACCACCAAAGAATACCAGATACTGCAGGCTATATTTCAGAGAAAGGCAATGGCAAATTATCTGAGTATTCCTTGCCTAAGAAAACCTTATGAAATTAATGGGGTCTCCATAGGTTAACAGGAGATTTGAAGGCATATCCAAACACACACATATACTAATGTCCCATATTCATGCAAATGACTTCTTATCTTTTAAATCTGGAGCAAGCATTTCCAGTACATTTCCCTTACTCCCAAGATTTCACAGTTGAAAACTGGAAAATGTATGGGCAAGAAACATCCGAATATGGTCAAGATGGCAAAATGTATTAATGAGGACAAACACACAAGGTGGGAGAGACTGAATTAATTTCTTTTTGCCTAATCCCCCTGGTAATGGCAAGATTCTGCCCCCACTCCTCTCCCCCCTGTTGAGTTAACTGAATGCAAACTACTTTTACACTTTGAAACAGCAGCTGAAGTAAACAGGACAAAAGGGGAAAGTGGAAAGAGGAGAGAAAAACTGGGACACAAGCAGCTGAAAAAAATTGGACAACTGATAATTAACCTGGCACTGTCCCTGCTAAACTGGGACAGTTGGAGGGTATGCACACACACACACATATACTATAAGTAACATTTGTGTGTAGCTGATCGCCATATTCCTCAAATGACTGTGATCCAAAACACACTGCAGAAATTATCCAGTTTGAGACCACTTTAACTGCTCTGGTTCAGTGCTAGGGAATCCTGGGAACTGTAATTTATTGTGGCACCAGAGCTCTCTGACAGAAAAGGCTAAGTGTCTCACAAAACTATAGTTCCCAGAATTCCCTGGATTATTTCTGCAATGTGTTTTGGACCTGAATTAGTTTTTCAAGTCAAAATTTTCTTCTGACTTCCCACAATCATGGTTGGCTAATCCAATTTTAGTCCCAAATAGAAGTACTGGTACTTTTCTACTAATTTCCCATTGATTCAATGGACATAGTCCAAGTGGGAATAAGTATTGCATTTAGGTCAATGTATCCAGGAGATCAATTCATTGTACAGTTTGATTGCTCCTATAGTTTTAATTTTCAGTTATACTTGCTGCCTGTAGGATTTCTAGTCTTCCATTTTGACTCCCAACATTCAGGGGTAGCTGTGTTGGCCATTTAGCAAATTTAAACAAAAATCCATCAGTGATACCTTTATTGGCCAACCAAAATGCACAAGATACTTGTTGCAAGCTTTCAGAGCTCCATGGGCTTCTTTATCAGGCAAGATGTTACAAACCAAACAGGAGAAAAACAATTGGAGATGTTAGTCAGATGCCTAAATGTTGTTTCAGTCTTTGGTTAAGAAAGATGGTATATAGTGGGGAGGATATCTTTTGCAGGCAGGCTCCTCCTCCTGGCTCTGTGGTTATAGGGAGATTTGCAGAGTCCAGGAAATTTAAAGTCCATTTGCATCTCAACAGGGACCCCTCTTTTGCAATCCAATATGTCTCCATTCTAGTGAGGTCACACATTTTGCGGATTTGATTATTCACAGATTTTAGTAATATGTCCTCTTAGTAATATGTCCTCTATCTAGATCCTCCAGTGCAACTCTGTGGTCAATTTTAACCAAAAGTCACACTAAAAGACCTAGAGATTCCTAGAGAGAACACTCCACTAGGCATTTGTAGCTCCTCCAGTGCAGTTCTGTGGTCAATGTCTGGCAGATGTTGACCACAAAGTTGCACTGGAAGACCTAGAGATTCCTAGAGAGGTGTTCTCTCAGGTAAAAACATAGCGTTTTTGTTATTTGCAGTTTTTCCACATTCGTGGGGGTCCTGTGTCCTTTACGCCAGCGAATGTGGAGGGACGAGTGTATTTGCATATGCTTTCAGAGGAAGTAATTATTAACCTTTGAAACAAGTGTTTACCTATTACCATCTTTTATTGTGGAACTGTTTTTAAATTGTAGTCATTGCAGCCATGACCATATAGAAAGGATAAATTAATTGTCTGACTGGATGAATGGTCTGCCTTAATTTCTGGCAGCTCATATTAATAAAATATACTATGGGTCATTCTATAATTCTGTGAACTATTGTCGTTAAAATTATGGCAGAGTGTTCACTGGGTCAGGCTGCCCTCTTGATGCTAAATAGTCAAATAGGATTTGATGCCAAATAAGGTTAGGATGGTAATGCAGTCCATTAAGAAGCACTCTTCCTTTCAGGATGGAAGAGTCTGTCAAACATGCCTGCACAAGGAAAGTATCTTCGGACCAGTAAATGCACAGGCACTTCAACTTTTGATAGATGCGAAAAGGAATGTTTATGCTGCATTAAACATGAGGAGCTCGTCATTCAAAGATAATTGAGTGAGCAAGTGAGCAAAAGAAATTAGATCCTTCAAGGAAGTTCTAACAGTATTTGAAGCTAGCAAGTTTTGAGAAGGTTAACTTAAAAATTATTCCTTTAATCCCCCCCCCCCCCGAACATATATTGAGGACAGATTATTTTTACTTCTTTCCTTTCTGTTTTTATTTGCTTTTGTCAAGTATCTCTGAAATCAGTCAGTATCTATTACACAGCAGTGATCTCAAGCCACCTTTGCAAACACTGTCATTCTGTCAAAAGTGCTGTTCTCTGGGTTGAAAAGTCATTTGTACTGAACAGGAGAGTATAAAATCATAAAGAAAATGCAATGTTTATTACTCACTATGTATGTAAATAAGTGTGGGAGTAAGTAAAGTTCAAATGTGATATGCATCTCTGCATTATGCTGTACAAGCTTATTAGCATAATAGTTAATGCTTCCATAAGCACAACTATTCAGCGACAAGTCTTACTCTTATCGCTTCTTCTATGGTACGGGGCCTGGAGTCATGTCACCAGTTTCTTCTCAAATACCAGCTGTCAGTGAACAACAATTTCTGGCTGTTGTTTGAGTGGATTCAGAAGTACTGATCAAGACAGGATAGATATCTCTTTCAACCAGAATAGGAATAGAACAAAACATACCTAACATCTAAGAACACAATGCTGGCTAATTCAGCAAGCATTCACCAGTCAGATGACTCTGGGAAGCCCACAGCTAGGTCATGAGTATAAAAGCATGGCTACTGATGCTCACCATTGTAGTCAATCACTTATTTCTTATATTAGAGGTAATATAGAGCTACCATACAGTCATTTATAACTGTTGGTGTGCCTTCAATATGTTTCTGATTTACGTCAACCCTAAGGTGAACTTGTCATCAGGTTTTTTTTGCAAGATTTGTTCAGAGGGGATTTGCCGTTGTCTCCCTCTGAGGCTGAGAGAGTGTAACTTGCCCGAGGTTACCCAGTAGATTTCTATGGCTGAGCAGGGGTTTGAACCCTGGTCTCCAGAGTTGTAATCTAAAAGTCTACACCACACTGGCTCTTAACTTATAACTGCATCCTCCACTCATTTGTCTCACCCCCTTTAGAAGCTAACTATGGGCCTTTGCAGACTGCCAGAAATAGTGCACATTAAATTGAGGCACTGCCCTGGCTCAGTGCTAAGGAGTCATGGGAATTGTATTTTTTTCTGAGACATTGAGCCTTCTCTGTCAGAGAGCTCTTGTGCCACAATAAACTACAGTTCCCATGATTCCCTAGCACTGAGCCAGGGCAGTGCCTCAATTTAATGTGCACTATTTCTGGCAGTCTGCAAAGGCCCAGTATCTTGTAGTAGCAAATTTCCTAGCTTAACTATGCTCTGTGTAACTTCATGTTATCTGTCCTGAACCTCCTACCATTCAACTTCACTGCCTAGCCCCATGTTCTAACATCGGGGGGGGGGGGGAGATTTCCCCCATTCATTTTCCACACTGCATATAATTTTGAATTTCTCTATTATGTCCTCCCTTATTCACCTTTTTTGCTCAGCTAAAACACCCCCAAAGTTTCCCTCATAGAGAATTGCATCAGCCTGGTGATGATTTAAAATGCCTTTATGTATTATTTAAAGTGTTTATACCCCACCATTTTTCCATGATGGGTCCCAGAGCAGCTTACAATGACAGTTCTCTTTCTGTGGCTTTACAATCTAAGTAAGTCATGACACACAAGTAAAGGGGTGAGGTGAGAATTATGTTGCAATATTTGTTCAGAGGAGGTTTGCCATTGCCTTCTCCTGAAGCTGAGAGCATGTGACTTGCCCAAGGTCACTCAATGGGTTTCATGGCCGAGGTGGGAATTGAACCTTGGTCTCTAGTATTACAGTCCAATACTCTAACCACTTTCTCACACTGGCTCTTAAGTGTAAAATACCCTTCGATATATAGGAGTAGTAGCCCTCTGCATGGAAGAATGCCTATACAGTAATAATGCAAGCCAGTGTGATGTAGTGGTTTAAGCATTGGACTGCGAATCTGAAGACCAGGGTTCGAATCCCTGCATGGCCATGGAAACCCACTGGGTGAGTCACACTTTCTCAGTCCTAGAAAACCTTATGATAGATTTGCCATAAGTGCTAACCATAATAGGCAAGCAGAGGGGTAAGCCCCATTGAGTTCAGTGAGACATACTCCAGCTCTGAGAGAGTACAGAGACTATTAGCCTCAGTATCTGGGGAGGTGGAAAATACTTCTTGTGATTCACCAAAACCACCCCAAGCTGGCGAATGCACCCACTGTGGTAGAGACATTTCTAACTGGCAACATACCCCACCAATTTTACTGCCAAGCTAACATGATTCATTGAGGATGGCAATTTTGGGGATGCCCTTCCACATGATGTCCCCTGCCCAGGGTGACCAAAGGCTCTCCTTTTCCAGGATCTGCCCTACATTTCAACTTTCTGTCCAGGAGGAATTCCAAAATGTCCTCCATTTGGAGCAGGACTAAGAAGCATGAGAGAGCCAGTGCAGCCTAGTGGTTTGAGTGTTGGACTAGGACTCTGGAGACCAGGTTCGATTCCTGGTAGGTCATGAAACCCCCAGGTGGCCTTAGGCAAGTCACACTCTCTCGTTCTCAGGGGAAGGCAATGGCAAACCACCTCTGAACAAATATTGCCAAGAAAACCATCTTAGGATCGCCATAAGTCGAAACGACTTGAAGGCACACAACACACACACACAAGAAAAATGAATTTATATTTTGATGAGTGTTTTGAGCTTTTATTTGGTAGGTAAAAGGTAAAGGTAGTTCCTTGACATGAATGTCTAGTCGTAGGCATCCATGGGTGGGTTTTTGTGGGCTTTTCAGGCTGTGAGGCTGTGTTCTAGAAGAATTTCTTCCTGATTTTCATCTGCATATGTGGCTGGCATCTTCAGAGGATAGTGGCATGGAAGTGAGTGGGGTATATATACGTGTGACCCTTGGTTGAGAAGATGTGATTTGCATGTTAATCTCTGTGTTGTTTTGTTGTTGAATGGCAAGGCCTCAGGCTGGAAGGATACACAAGGAGGATTTGTGTCTATTTAATTGGTGATCCATTGTCTGCTGGGAAACCCCCTGGTGGTATTAATTTGTATATGCCGAGTCTTGAGTTTGGTGTTTATCAGGACTGGTAGCCAAATTTGTTTATTTCCAGTTGAATATGTCCAGGGATTTGTGGATTTCAATGGCTTCCTTGTGCATTCTAACCTGATAAGTTTTTGGCATGGTCCAGAATTTCAGTGTTTTCAAATAGCATTTTATGCCCAGGATGGTTTATAAATTGTTCTGCTACTGCTGATTTTTCATGCTGGCTCCGTCATCAAGCTCAGCGCACATGCAAATGAACTTCACCCAGGGTCAGGGATTTTCCCAGCGGATAGTGGACCAGTAATTAAATAGACACTAATCGTTCTCGCATATCCTCCTACCCTGAGGCCTTGCCATTCAACAACAGAACAATACACAGATTAACATGCAAATCACATCCTCTCAACCAAGGAGTACACAGTCCCCACTCACTTCCATGCCACCATTCTCGGAAGATGCCAGCCACAGATGTAGGCGAGACATCAGGAAAAAATTATTCTAGAACACACCCCCACAACCCGAAAAGCCCACAAAATCCATAGTGCTCACCGTAGTTTCTAAGCCAAAGAGGAAGCATTGTCCGAAGATGACTTGGATGGTCATGTGGCTAGCATGACTGCATTGAATGCTGTTACCTTCCCACTGAAGTGGTACCTATCTTATCAATTTGCATTTGCATGCTTTCAGACTGCTAGGTTGGCAGAAGCTGGGACTAATGACAGGAGCTCATCTCATCATGCAGCACCTGGGCCTTGAACTGCCAACCTTCCAATCTTCTGATCATCTGAATTGGCATCTTAATCACTAATCACTTAATCACATCCCTTTTTTATTTGATAACATCCTCAATTTTTCTTGAAGGGCCTCCATTTTACAATGAAGCCAACTGGTGGTCACCCTGACTGTTCTGGCCTCCTTCCTCTGCTTGAAGGACTCCTAAACAGGGACTGCCTGCTTCAAAGCCAGCCCTGAACGGGAACACACCCAGGCACAACTTTGGTGTTTATGTGTTGATATTATTATTATTATTATTATTATTATTATTATTATTATTATTATTATTATTATTATTATTATTATTATTTAATAAGCCAGCTCTACAAGGGAACACACACAGCCAGGACTTGTGTTGTTGTTGTTATTATTATTATTATTAAGCCAGCTCTACAAGGGAACACACACAGCC